TTTTGGTTAAACTTTAAGTATGCTTAACTACTTTATAACCTGAAACTGGGCACTTCAAACTCAAGAAAATGTAGCATACTCATGAGTTTAGCAAGGATCAGTCATAAACAAATAAGGCAAAAGCTAGCACACACACATGTTCTACTATGTCTTAAACTTTTAACCACTTCAAGTATAAGTAAAAACTGATTCTTACTAAAACTTATCATGTCCAAAATTTCACACTAGCAGCAAGTTATTAACCAACAACTAAAGCTCGGCCATCTCAAAATCAAAGCCAAACTTGTTCAAGTTTCTTCTATGTTTCTAATAAAAGAAAATGACTAAGCAAGGCAAACATTCACTCAACATAGGCAAATAAAATCCACTTTCACATAGCAGAAAACACCTTCAAAAATACACACCCTAACAACAATTAAATCCAATTAAAATCACAGCAACATAAAGCCAAACAAAACACCCGAAAACATAAATATAGCCTCCAAGTTTATCCTTTAAACGCTAATTTTTAAACATCATTTCTAAGAAATCCAATTCCACAGCACATAATTCATACATTAATCTTATTTTATTCCCAATTCAAAGATTCGAATTGCACAACCAAGGATCTAAATAAAAAGAAAAAGAACACGAGATTACCACTCTAATCCACACGAAAAGAGGATTAACAGTTTCAGGCTCAAACATGGCAGCCCGGAACGAAGATGCCTCAGCCGTGACTTGCTGCTGCCAACAAAGGGGTTCGGAACCCGCTTGGCCCGCTCTCGATCATCGGCACTCGCCTTAGCCTCGGAACTCGGTTCTGTTGCTCTTGGTTTCTTGGTTTGCTGCCTGATTGGCGAGGTGGGGCTCGCAACCGCTCGCTCATGGGATGTCATCGAAAACTGGGGCCTCGATTGTGACCCAAAGGGGCCGCTCGCCAACCACGGGGTTCTGTTCCAGCCGCGGGTGTTATCTCGCCGGAAGTCGGGGTTGAGTCGCGACTAAAGGGGCCTGCTATTCGGCGTCTGGGGCCTGGTCTATCGTTCTCGCCGGGAAATCTGGTGGTGCTGCTCTCGGTCATTCTAGTGCGCTACCGCCGCTGGTGGCTCATCCTCGCCGCTGGTGGTGCTCGATTCGCTGGATACCTCGTCGTCTGCCGGGTCTACTGCAAACGACGGCTGGTTACGGCCCGTTGCTAGTCGAGGGTCGCCTGCATTGGCTGCCTTTGGTCGGAGATCACGGCTCGCCGCTGGTCGAGTGCCGGAAGTGAACAGGGCACAAACGAGTCACCGGCAGAGAGGAGAACGGAACTCGCCTGTCGCACTGGAAATTCATCGGAACCTGGTGGGCCGCAGCACGGCCTTCTCGTCAACCGCGTTGGAGGCTTCTCGATCGGTGCTGGTTCTGCTCATCGTCGAGCTGGTTGCGAGCGGACAGACTCCTTGTCAATGGCGGACGTCAGCGGTTCCTCTTGACCGAGTCTCGACGGTTGATGGTTCACACCTGGCGGACTTCGGCTAATCGCGCGCTAGCTCGCGGTCGCCGAATTTTGGAGCCTCGATTGACGGTTCTGCTTGGTCGAAGGAATTGAGGATGACAATGGGTGTTTCTGCGAATTTGTAAAGGAGTATAAGGGCAGATCCGATCAGAAACCGCGTAACCAGATTTTGGGGAAATTCCGTCGCGAGGTGAAATGTGTGAGACGACTGAATTTTCGATCTGGTTTTGGCCGAGTATATGAAGGTGAGAATTGGTCGTGAGATTAAAAATATTTCACCCAAAAGATCGGAACAGAAACGCGATAGGGGAGAAGAGTAATGGAAGAGCCGGTCAACATGGCCTAATTAAATCTCCAAATGGGCTGACATACAAGGGCCAAGAATTCTAATCAAGGGGATGGGCCGAAATTTAGCAACTCTTAGGATGTTTATGGCTAGGTGTTGGACTAAAAATACTTAGGCAACTATTTAAACACTTACATATAAATAAGCACACAAATTATACTTAGACATAAAATTACACATAGGCACAAGATGCAAATTCAAAGCAATTTAAACACTTAATACGACTTAGTAAAACGAAAGCGCAACAAATAATTTAAGAAGACGAGGACATCTTCTTAAAACTAGATTTTCGATTAGGTAAATTAATTAAAAAATTAAATAGACGAGGACATCTATTTAATTCTAATAAACTTGATAGGGAAAATCTGTCGAGCACTACGACTAAAATAAAAGCGAGGCTAATAAATAATAATATATAATATTCAAAAAATTCTAATAAACGAACGGGGCACTACAGCTAATATGGTTGCCGACGCCTTGAGTCGGAAGAGTCGTGGCCAGCTGTCTTGCCTATTCACCGGGCAAGATGTCCTAGTTCGGGAGTTCGAGCGGCTACAGTTAGAGGAGGTGGAGTAAACTTCGACGGTCAGTGGTATGTTGACCGCCTTGGTCGTGGGACCGACTCTTCGTGAGAAGATAGTCGCCGAGCAGTGTTTGTCCCATTTTTGTTACGTTTTTCATGTCCATTTTCTCGTTCTTTTTCTCCCATTTTGAGTCGTTTATGTGGTTTTTATTCGTTTTTACAGTTTATTGTGTGTTTATCTTTATTTTGGTATTCTATGTGTTTTCCGTATGTTTCTTTCGTTTTTTCCTCGTTTATGGTGTGTAGGTCGAAAGCTTCGGAAAGATCTAATTTTGGGTGAAAGTTAGTTGGGCTAGCATAAGTAGATAGAGGAGTTCGTTGGGAATACACAGGAAAAAACAGAATCAAATTCCGAGTTGAAACGAGCTCAAACGGACCCGAGAAGCAAAGTTGTGCGAGCTGCCCACCTGCCCAGGCCCCGCGCCGCGCCAGGCCCCGCGCCGCGCCACCCGTGCCTCACCGCGCCGCGCCAGTGCCACGACATGGACTGCAGCTCCCAGGCATCCCAGGCCCCGCGCCGTGCCAGCGTGATGAAGATCGCGTGTCCCGATTGCCGATAAGCCACAAACCAGTGCCTTGAATCGCCGATAGGTGTCTCGAGGTTTGCACAACCGCACCGCTTGAAACGATAAAATTGCAAAAAAAATCGAAAAGATATCTAAGGCAAAGTGTTTGAACAAAAGTTCGGTTTTTCTATTAGTTTCTGAATGATTATTTTGAATGACAATGGGGCATATTTATAGATGTCAAACTAAGTCTATTCCTAATCTAAGAAGAACTCCTAATACTTGGAAATAAATAAAGTCCTAAGGAACTAAATCACTAATTAAAGCAATAAAATATTAAAGTCCTAAACAATCTAGA